ATACATTATCAAATATCAATGAGTAACTAGCTTAGTACCATAGTCTCAGGGGACACCATGGTCAATTGGCATAACACAGATCACAAAGACAGTGTTTCATATCCTAATTATGGTGAGTGTATCTGGGATATTAAAAACTCATGACTGGCTGTTTAGGTGAAACTATTAGTCTCTCCTCATTTTCCTGCAGTGCTTCTGACTGCTTCTCTGCTATTCATTTGGCTTTATCTTCTCGAGCTCATCTTTGAAATTTTCTGTTCAGCTCTTGGACCTCCTCATTTCTTCGATTTGCTTTAGCGTCTCTACACTGAAGAGCAAGTTTCAGTGTCTCTTCTGCCATCCATTTTGACCTTTTCCTTCTTTCTTGTCTTCTTAATAACTTTTTTGCTTTCTTCATGTATGATGCTCTGGATGTCTTTAGTGCTTAATGTATCAAATCTGTTCTTCAGATGATCTCTAAATTCAGGTGGGATATATTCAAGGTACTATTTTGACTCTTGTAGACTTGTTTTCATTTTCTTCAGCTTCAGTTTGAATTTGCATATGAGTAATTGATGGTCTGACCCAGCCTTGTTTTCACTGATGATATGGAGCTTTTCCTTCATCTCTTTCCACAGATGTAGTCAATTTGATTTCTATGTATTCCATCTGGTGAGGTGCATGTATATAGCCATCTCTTATGCTGTCTAAAGAAGGTATTTGAAATAAACAAACCATTGGTTTTGCAGAATTCTATCATGTGTTTTCCAGCATCATTTCTATCACTAAGGCCATATTTTCCAACTACTCATCCTTCCTCTTTGCTCCGAACCTTCTCATTCCAATCATCAGTAATGATAAATACATCTTGATTACATGTTTGATTAATTTTAGATTTAAAAAGCTGATAGAATACTTCTATTTCATCCTCACTTGCTTTAGTGGTTGGTACATAAATTTGAATAAGAGTGGTATTAACTGGGCTTCCCTTTAGGCATGTGGATATTATCCTATCACACACAGCATTGTACCTAATGACTGATCCGGATATAGTCTTTTTGACAATGAATGCAACACCCTTAATCTTCGATTTGTCATTTTTGGCATAGTAAACCATGTGATCATCAGATTCAAAATGGCCAATACCACTCCATTTCAGCTCACCAATGCCTAACATATCAATGTTTATGAGTTCCATTTCATTTTTGACAACTTCCAATTTTCCCAGATTCATACTTTGTACATTCCATATTCTGACTTTTAATGGATGTTTATGGCTGTTTCTCTTCATTTTGAGTTGTGCCCCATCAGCAAATGAAGGTCCCGCAGCCTTTCTCCCACAGGCTTTACTTCATTTGCATCATCACAGTCAACTCTACTTTGAATATTGAAAGTGCCATGGGCTGCCAATAGAACCAATAGCTCCATTTTGAAAGAAGTGCAGCTAGAGTGTTCCTTGGAGGCCAAGATGGCCAAACTTCATCTCTCATACTTCAGACATTGTTAGGAGGGACCAGTCACTGGCGAAGGATATTGTGTTTGGTAAGGTGGAGGTTCAGAGAAAAAAAGAGGAAGACCCACAACAAGATGGATTGACCAAGTGTCAGCATTGATAGACTTAAGCATGACAACAGTAGTGACATTGGCTCAGGATCGGGCAGTGTTTCATTCTGCTGTGCATAAGGTTGCTATGGGTTGGTACCGACTCGATGGCACCTAACAACAACAACAACATTTATTTAAGGTAATTATTATTTATCATCTCTTTACTAAGGCAGAATATTGTACTTACATAAGTAAATATGCTATATCATGGGACTGTAGGTCAAGATAGTTGTGTTTCCATGCCAAAAATCTTTGTAATATATCACTAGCATTTCCACTGGTGGGTATTTGGTTCTTATCTGACCATATTTCCAAGGAGGACAGTGTAACCGTTAATTTGAACTGCATAAACTTCTAAAAATAATAGTAAGGACACACTTATTCAAGCAACATAAATTATTGTATCAAAACAGTACATGAAAAGTAAATAAAATGTTCAGATGAATATTTTGTGCAGTAGAACAGTAGAAAATCTTTAAGTCATTAATTTGCCATATTACTATAGATAGCACTTTCAATGAGTATACATGAAATTAGAAAAATGATTTAAAAAAACAAAAACAAACTTACAGTGTTAACAAGGCCAATAATTTGGACAATTTTCTCTGTTACAGACATAATTTCAGATCCCATATAATCATACTGAAAAACAAATTTGTTAATTTATATAATTCAATAATGCCAATATTTTGGATAGTGACTATCAGGCAGAAAAATGATACGATATGTCAAGTAATTTAAAGAATACAATACAAAGATGATTATTCTTATAATAAAATAAACAAGCAAAAAAAAAAACATGGGGTCAATATTAGAAAACAAAACAAAACAGAATCCTACTTGGGACACTGAAAGTAGAAGTTATATATCTTATATTCTTATTGTGTATTTTATGTATTTTACTATTATATATTTATTGCTATATATAAAAGTTTTTATCATGAGTATGCTGCTGTCAAGGAGCTCTGGTAGCGTAGTGGTTACAAGTCAGACTGACAACTGCAAGGTCAGCAGTTCGAACCTACCAGCAGTTCTGTGAGAAAAAGATGAGGTGTTCTGCTCCCGTAAAGATTTACAGCATTGGAAATCCTGTACAAGGTCATTATGAGTCGGAACCGACTCCATGGTACTTCACAACAACAACAAATAAAAGTTTGTGAAAATAATAAAATTGAAAGATAATGGAGCTTTTAAAATCCCCCATGTATTTCAAAGTACTCTTAAGCAGAACTAATTAAGACTACCAAGGGGTACTAAATAACTTTGCATTTTTGCTATTTATAAAGGAATTTCTAGAGCTATCAGTTATCTATGACATGGAAACAAAGTATATTCCATTGCATGTTTAGTGGATAAAGAAGAGCAAATAAATAAGAAAATAGAGAATAATCATTAAAATGCAAATATTATTGTAAGGGAAAAGATATCTGTTATGATATGTAGTGAAAATTATGTAGAATTCATATCTCAAAAGGTTTTATAAAGAAAAAATCAAACATTTCAAAAAAAACCAATAAGTCACAGTTTAAAAAATAAAAGGTGAAAACACAGGTGCTACCTTCTGAAATTTGTAAGTCTGTCTTGAGAGGACTGGGAATCATATTTGTAGGTCTAATTAATCCACCTGTTATATGAACTTACACTTCTGCCAAATACTGCCAATTTTACTAGTTGAACATAAGAAATCTTATTAAATCTTAGAAATATTTATGGCCTGTTCACTGATAACAAAAAAAAAGAATCCCCTATTTCAATGAGTAGAATATTGATATAAGAAGTAATTGATATTTAATTATATTTTCCATCTATTTAATTAAAAATTAAACATATCCTAAATTAAAGTATTTTTGGAACACAAAAGACATTGTATCTAACATATGTTATCTATTTCTTTGTTCTATTAAATAAGAACAATTCTTATTTATGACAGTCTATTTAAAAAATAAACAAATAGTAGAAATATAATCCCTATATTAAATGTCATCATAACTTAGATTGTATCCCTATGTCTGAAGTTTATATCACAAGGATAAAATGGTTGATAATATAAGGAAGAGTTGTTGTTGTTAATTGCCATTGAGTTAGTTCCAACTACTAGTGACCATGTATAGGGTTTCCAAGGAACAACTACTGAATTTGAGCAGCCAAACTTGTAGTTCAAACTGACCATGTGATCCAGAGCTTTACCTCACAGCAGCCATACCAGGAAGAGTTAGCAAGACTTGATTGTTGGAACTAATACATATCAGCATATGTACAGCAAAATTGATGCAAATAAAATAAAAATTAATGAAACTTACAAAAATAGTTCATAGCAGAAACACACCTCTCCATAACTGGTAGAACATATGGACAAAAACTAAAAAAAAAAATACACACCCGGTACAAGGAGAGAATATAATAAATACTATCCAAATGTACATGGAATATTTACCAAAATTAACAATATGTTAGAACATAAATGAAGTTGCATTACAAATAAAAAAGAAAAACAAAAACAGTAACTCTCACTTCTGGCCACATTGAAAAAATAGGTACTAGGAGTCCTTGTGTGGTGTTGTAGGATAAGCACTGGACCAAAAAGTCCATTTGAACTGCAAGGTTGGTGGTTTGAACTCACTATTAGCTCCTCAAAAACCCTATACAGGGTCACTATGATTCTGAATAGACTCAATGGCCCTTAACGACAATGACAACAACAACATATTGCAGACTGCTATAAAACTAAGCACTTTATATAAAACCATTGCTTTCAGGCATTAGACAAGCATTCAAAGTTAAATTCTACAGAAAAGCTATAATGATCCTGACTTTCTAACTAGGGGAATTTCCTAGTCTTCTGTACAATTTAGTTTAAAGAGAACACAGTGGAGTAGAGATTAATATTTAACTCTGATAAAGCAGCTGGAATCTATTAAGCAAAATATTGAAGTATGGAGAAATGTCAATAACAAAATTCAAAATTTTTGGTTAGAAACTCTTTAAAATAATCAATCATTGGAGAAAAGGGGGCAGCTTTTACCCCAAAGCAAAGTTCAGAAGGGTTAGGAAAATAAGATGAATGAAAACAGGAAACACAAGGGTGATGCAGAACAAGTGATATTACTTTGAGGAGATTGCAATCAAAGAGATTAAGTAAAATGTATATGGATTGTTGAATGCAAAATGATGATCTCGGTAAACAAATTTTCAAACCTTTCATGATAAAAATAAAATCAACAAAATTTAATTCCCTATTTCTACTTGGCAAGAATAGGTCTGTATGTTAGCTTGACAAGTATACAAAAGCTTATAAGAAAGAGAGAGAAGGAAACTAGGTATATACTGAAAATCTGTGACACTGTGGGTTAATGCCCCAGATTGCAAAGCCATTTGAACTGCCAGGTTGGTGGTTCAAGCTCACCAGATGCTCCTTGGAAACCCTATACAGGGTCACCATGGGTCATAATTGACAACATCAACAACTGAAAATCTCAGGTACCAGTCTGAGGCACCAAAAAGGACTACAATTTAGGATAGGTTCCATGTACTGGATTGAAGGTCAGAGAATGGACTCTGGAAAAATTCAAATAGTCATAATTTTCAGGCTTTGGGGGCATTGAAACAAAATGACAAATATTATACAGATACTTGCATAACAAGACAAAAAGCAAATTTCTATAAAAATTAATAGACAATATTCAAATTATTTTTAAAATTGAGTTAAATATTATATGCATATCTATATAAGAGAAGAATGAGAGTACTTTTGAGGGGATACTGTATTTGTCATTTATCTTATGTTACTTCATTTCAGGAAGTAACGTAAGATCAGAAACTGATGGTATGGAACAGGGAAGTCCAAACTGCCCTGAAAGTATCAGCATAAAACAAGGTATCAGAATTTTATAGAACTTTATTGAAATGGTTCAGCTAATTGATACAGCATGAGAAGTATTCATTAACATATGTTTGGAAATTTGGAGGCAACTGCCTTGACAATATACCAAGAAATTCAAGGTACATTGAAGGCATTGGAAAAGAACAAGGCTCTGGGAATT